GACAGGGACTTAGAACTGTTGAAGCTCACCCATGTGTTCTTTAAATGCCTGCCATTGCCTATCCACCATCCAGCCCCTAGGTATCCTTGGCCCGCTTATCCTATGATGTGGAGGTGCTGGTGTTGGATTAGGGTGGACAAAGTAAGAAGTCACACAACATCAGGTTATAGTCCAACAGGTTTATTTGAAATCACAAGCTTTCTGAGCATAGCCCCTTTGTCAGGTGAAGTGAGAGAGAAGCACACAGACATAGAATTTATGGGCAGAGAGATAAAGAGGAGAGAGGTCAAAAGATCTTACAAATGGCGTGAGTGGAGTGTCTGATAATAAATCCCTGCGGGTGATCAAAAGTGTCAAGTGAGTAAAGTGGTGTGAGTAAAGTGTCAACAGCTGAATAACAAGCTAAGAGATGATCTAAATCCAATCAAATGAGGCAAAGAGATAATTACAAAGAATTAAAGATAAGGTGGTTCTGGAGACAAATCAAATGGCAGGAATAACATGATAAGTATAAGAGCTGCATGCCAAAATCGTACAAACTAATTAAGGTAGAGCGATCATAACAAGTTATCAAGATGATGGTGTCAAAACAAGACAGTAAGGAAGAATTTACAGATACAGAACAGTGGGGTGGGGTCACATATAGCACAAGATGAACCCAAGATCACTGTTGAGGCTATCTTCATGTGTGTGGAACCTGGCTATCAGTTTCTGCTTGGTGTTTCTGTGTTGTTGTGTATCTCGAAGGCCAACTTGGGGGACACGTACCCGAAGATTGGAGGCTGAATGTCCTTGAGGCTGATGTGTTCCCCGACTGGGAGGGAACGTTCCTGTCTGGTGATTGTTGCGCGGTGTCCATTCATCCATTGTTATAGCTTATCCTAGCCAGTGCATGCCTCATACCATCAAAGTTAGCTTTCTTTAAGTTCAGGACCCTAGTTTCAGATTTAACTGTGTCCCTCTCCATCTTAATGAAAAATTCTACCATATTATGGTCACTCTTCCCCAAAAGATCTCGCACCACAATGTTGCTAATTAATCCTTTCTCATTACACAATACCCAGTCTAGGATAGCTTGCTCTTTAGTTGATACCTCAACAGATTGGTCAAGGAAACCATCCCTCATACATTCCAGGAAATCCATTGCTGCCAGTTTGGCTAGTCCAATCAATGTGTGGATTGAAGCCACCCATAATAACTGCTGTATCCTTAGTGCATGCATCTCTAATTTCCTGTATGATGCCATCCCAACATCACAACTACTGTTAGGTGGTCTGTACACAGCTCCCACTAATGTCTTTTTCCCTTTGGTATTCCACAGCTCCACCCATACTGATTCCACATCGTCGAGGCTAGTGTGCCGCCTTATTATTGTGGTAATGTCCTCCTTAACCAGCAACGATACCTCACCTTCCTTTCCTTTCCTTTCCATAGAATCCCTACAGTGTGGAAACAGACCCTTCGGCCCAACAAGTCCACACTGAACCTCAGAGCATCCCCTTATAACCCACCTAATCTACACAACCCTGAACACTATGGGCAATTTAGCATGGCCAATCCACCTAACCTGCACATCTTTGGACTGTGGGAGGAAACCAGAGCACCCGGAGGAAACCCATGCAGACACGGGGAGAATGTGCAAACTCCACACCGACAGTCGCCCTAGGATGGGATCGAACCCGGGTCCCTGGTGCTGTGAGGCAGCAGTGCTAACCACTGAGCCACCGTGCCGCCTGCTATGCCATCTATCGTTCCTGAAAATTGGATTACCCTTGATATCGAGTTCCTATCCTTGGTCACCCTGGAGCTAGGTTTCCAATTATATGATGTCCATTAATAACAGTTTGCGCAGTTAATTCGTCCACCTTATTAGAAATGCTCCTCGAACTGAGACACTGAACATTCAGGCTCATCTTTCTGACATGTATTGCCTTTTTAGAATCATTGTGAAATGTGGTCCATTTTGATTTTTGTCTTTCATTTCTCCGCCTTCCACTTCCACTTTGCTCCTTACTGTCCTTTGTTTCTGTCCCCACTTTACTTTCCTCTGACTCCCTGTATTGATTTCCATGTCCCTGCCATATTAGTTTAGACCCTCCCCGACAGCACTAGCAAACACTCCCCCCAGGACGTTGGTTCCAGTCCTGCCAGGTGCAGGCTGTCCGGTTTGTACTGGTTCCACCTCCCCAGAACCGGTTCCAATCTCCCAGGAATTTGAATCCCTCCCTCTTGCACCATCCCTGAAGCCACACATTCATCTTAGCTAACAAGGTGCAGGGCTGGATGAACACAGCAGGCCAAGCAGCATCATAGGAGCAGAGAGGCTGACGTTTCAGGCCTAGACCCTTCATCAGAAATGGGGGAGGGGAAGGGGGTTCTGAAATAAATAGTGAGAGAGGGGGAGGGGAATAGAAGATGGATAGAGGAGAAGATAGGTGGAGAGGAGACAGTCAGGTCAAAGAGGTGGGGATGGAGCCAGTAAATGTGAGTGTAGGTGGGGGGTTAGGGAGGAGGTAGGTCAGTCCAGGGAGAACGGACAGGTCAAGGGGGCGGGATGAGGTTAGTAGGTAGGAGATGGGGCTGGGGCTTGAGGTGGGAGGAGGGGATAGGTGGGAGGAAGGACAGGTTAGGGAGGCAGGGATGAGCTGGGCTGGTTTTGGCATGCAATTGGGGGAGGGGAGATTTTGAAGCTGATGAAGTTCACCTGCACATCTGCCAATGTGGTATACTGCATCCGCTGTACCCGGTGTGGCTTCCTCTACATCGGGGAAACCAAGCGGAGACTCGGGGACCGCTTTGCAGAACACCTACGCTCGGTTCGCAACAAACAACTGCACCTCCCAGTCGCGAACCATTTCAGCTCCCCCTCCCATTCCTCAGACGATATGTCCATCCTGGGCCTCCTGCAGTGCCACAACGATGCTACCCGAAGATTGCGGGAACAGCACCTCATATTTCGCGTGGGAACCCTGCAGCCCAATGGTATCAATGTGGACTTCACAAGCTTCAAAATCTCCCCTCCCCCTACCGCATCCCAAAACCAGCCCAGTTCGTCCCTGCCTCCCTAACCTGTTCTTCCTCCCACCTATCCCCTCCTCCCACCTCAAGCCGCACCCCCATCTCCTACCTACTAACCTCATCCCGCCCCCGTGACCTGTCCGTCCTCCCTGGACTGACCTATCCCCTCCCTAACTCCCCACCTACACTCACCTTTACTGGCTCCATCCCCGCCTCTTCGACCTGTTTGTTTCCTCTCCACCTATCTTCTCCTTTATCCATCTTCTATCCGCCTCCCCCTCTCTCCCTATTTATTTCAGAATCCCCTTCCCCTCCCCCATTTCTGAAGAACGGTCTAGGCCCGAAACATCAGCTTTCCTGCTTCTCTGATGCTGCTTGGCCTGCTGTGTTCATCCAGCTCTACACCTTGTTATCTGAGATTCTCCAGCATCTGCAGTTCCTACTAGCTCTTCATCTTAGCTATCCTGCCATTGCTACTCTGACTAGCAAGTGGCTCTGGTAACAATTCTGAGATTACGATCTTTGACGTCCTACTTTTTAGTTTAAGTCCAAACTCCCTAAATTCTGCTTGTAGGACCTCAAGCCGTTTTTTACCTATATCATTGGTGCCTATATGCACCATGACAGCTAGCTGTTCACCCTCCCCCTCCAGAATGTCCTGCAGCCATCTGCGACACTCTTAACCCTCGCACCAGGGAGGCAACATCCTGAACTCTTGTTTGCAGCCACAGAAACGCCTGTCTATTCCCCTTACAATTGAATCCCCTAATCACTATCGCTCTGCCACTCTTTTTCCTGTCCTCCTGTACAACAGAGCCAGCCACAGTACCATGAACCTGACTGCTGTCACCTACCCCTGATTTTTTAATTCATTCACGGAATGAGGGCATTGCTGGCCAGGCAGCATTTATTGCCCATCCCTAATTGCCCAGAGAGCAGTTAAGAGTCAACCACATTTCTGTGGGTCTGGAATCACATGTAGGCCAGACCAGATAAGGATGGCAGCTTCGTTCCCTAAAGGACATTAGTGAGCCAGAGTGTTTTTCCTAACAATCCACAATGGATTCACGGTCATCATTAGATTCTTAATTCCAGATATTTATTAAATTCAAATTCCACCATCTGCCGTGACAGGATTTGAACCCAGGTCCCCATAACGTTATCTGTGTCTGTGGATCAACAAAATAAAAACCAAAAGAACTGCAGATGCTGTAAATCAGGAGCAAAACCAAAGTTGCTGGAAAAGCTCAGCAGGTCTGGCAACATTTGTGAAGGAAAAAACTGGGTTAATGTTTTGGTCTGGTGACCCTTCCTCAGAACAGACCCCTCCTCGGATCACCAGACCTGAAAGGTTAACTCTGTTTTTTACTTCACAGATGCTGCCAGACCTGCTGAGCTTTTTCAGCAACTTTGTTTTTGTTCCTGATTTACAGCATCTGCAACTTTGTTTTTGTTCTCTGGATTAACAGTTTAACGATAGTACCACTAGGCCATCGCTTCCCCTGGTGAGCCATCTCCCCCAACAGTATCCAAAATGGTTTACCTGCTTTGGAGGGAGATGACTGCAGGGGACACCTGCACTACGTTCCTACTCTTCATCTATCTATTGATCACCCATTCCCTAACTTCCTCAGTAATTTTTATCTGCAAGGTGACCAACTTGAAATTTCTGAAGAAGGGTCCCAACCCGAAGCGTCGGCTTTCCTGCTCCTCTGATGCTGTCTGGCCTGCTGTGTTCCTCCAGCTCCACACTGTGTTAGCACAGTTAAGCAGCCTTTTCAAGCTCCAATGCTTCTTTAATTAATAAACAGACGTGTGAAAATAAAAAGATGGCAGTCATGCCTGAGCAAGACATAGGCCTTTGTGGAAGGAGGATCTGGTCCCAGAGTGGGCCATGAGCAATCGTTGGTGAGTTTCTGTAGATAGCACGCTGTGTATCTTGGCATGTCTTTGCAAATGCTTCCTTTTGATTTTTCCCTCAGGTTTCTGACCTGGACTCCAAAAACGGAATTGGAAATGATGAAATGGGAAAAGTGATCCGGCGGCGGCACCAGTTAGCGCTGATAGACTGTACTGATGCACATGGCAACACACCGCTGTCAGAGGCTTCCGGTGGGGGGCATCCTGAGGCCATTCAGTTCTTGATTGAGAAAGGAGCTAACCTCAACTCAAAGGTATCAGACAGTTAGTGAAGGAGAAAGAGCAGCTCATGACCTTTCACCTCTGAAGGTTTTGCTATGTTACATGTGTCTCCATGCATCTTCCCATGTGTGACTGTGTTGATCCATGTCTTCCCCATCTCCCCATCTCTCTTTATGTATCTTCATGTGTCTCTCCATGTCCTCAGCCCTTGTCAGTCTCAGTCTGTTCCACTGCCTCTCTGTAAGACCCCTTTTGATTCTCTCAGTGCCTCCATTTCCTTGTGAGTCTCTGTGTGTTTGTCTCAGTGTCCTCATGGGTTCCCTGTGCCTGTGTGTGCTCCGTGTATCCCCCATGTGTTGCTGTGTCCCCTGTGTCTCTATGTGGTTCCCCCATTTCTCCATATGTCCCCACCCACCCCATGTCTCCATGTGATCCAAGATGCTGTGGAGTACAAAGAACAAAGAACGATAGAGCCCAGGAACAGGCCCTTTGGCCCTCCAAGCCTGCGCCAACACATTCTGTCCTTCCATACTAAAACTGTCTTCACTTACAGGATCCCTATCCCTTTAACCCTTTCCTTTTCATGTATTCGTCCAGATGCTTCTTGAACGCTGCTATTGTGTCTGCTTCCACCACCTCCTCTGGCATTGCACATCTCTTTTAAACTTCTGTCCCCCACCCTTGTATCCCCTAGTAACTGACCCCTCCACCCTGGGAAAAAGCCTCATACTTTCCACTCTATCCATGCCATTCGCAATCTTATAAACTTCTATCAGGTTCCCCCTCTCAACCTGCTGCGTTCCAGTGAAAACAAACCCAGTCTAGCCAACCTTTCGTCATTGCTAAAATCCTCCAGACCAGGCAATATCCTGGTAAACCTTTACTGTATCCTCTCCAAAGCATCCACATCCTTCTGGTAGTGTGGTGACCAGAACTGTACACAATATTCCAAGTGTGGCTTAATTAAAGTTCTATAACCTGTGGCATAAATTGTTTATCCTTATGTTCAGTGCCTCTTCCAATGAAGGCAAGCATGCCCATAGGCCTTTTTTTTGGCTACCTTATCTGTCTGCGCTGCCACCTTCAGTGATCTGTGACCTGCACACCCAGATCTCTCTGCATATCAATACTCCTAAGGGTTCTGCCATTCACTGTATAATTTCCACCTGGACTTCACCTTCCAAAATGTATCACCTCACATTTGTCCAGAATGAACTCCACCTGCCATTTTCCTGCCCATGCCACCCCCACCCCCGATCTAAATGCTGCTGTACCCTCTGACAATTCTCCTCACTACCCTTTGTATCATCTGCAAACTTACTAAGTAGACCAGCCATGTTTTCTTCCAAATCATTTGGGAATAACTGATTAAATGGGAGGAAAAAGAGTTCAGTACAACAGTCTTCCAACCCAGTCCGTGCTGGCCGCTAGAGTAGGACGCTTGAGCTGGAGCTTCTCCTCCCCGTCCATTCCTTTTCTATTTTCTTTCTCTCTTTTTCTCTTTTTGATTTTTTTTCTCATCTTCTCTCTTCTCGGCCTCCCGGCCTGCGATCTTGTCGCCTCTAACCTTGCGGTCTCTGAACTCCCAGCCTCTGACCTTGCAGCCTCCGAACTCACATCCTTGAAACTCCTGGCCTCCGCACAGACCTGATGAAGCATTATCTCATCCTGGCGTAGCAACGTGGCGTGGAGACCTTCTGGCCCGGTGTGGTGGTCTCTCAGCCTAGTGTGGTGGTCTCTCAGCTCGGTGTGGCAGTCTCTTGGGGGTGGCATGGATTCGTCTTGGCCAGGCATTGTGATCTCTCAGCCCTGCCTGGCCTCAGCATGGACTTCTGGTCTCAAGGTGATTTCAGAATGATCTCCCGACCTCATGAACCTTGAGGTGAAGCCCCGCACGTCTCCATGTGTCTCCCTTGTCTCCACGTGTCTCCCTTGTCTCCATGTGTCTCCGTGTCTCCATGTGACCCTGTGTTTCCTTGTGTCTCCTGTGTCACCATGTGTCCCCCGTGTCTCCATGTGTCCCCCATGTCTCCACGTGTCACCTGTGTCTCCATGTGTCCCCCATGTCTCCACGTGTCACCCGTGTCTCCATGTGTCCCCCCCATGTCTCCGTGTGTCCCCCATGTCTCTGTGTGTCCCCCGTGCCTCCGTGTGTCTCCCATGACTCCGTGTGTGCCCCATGTCTCCATGTGTGTCCCATGTCTCTGTGTGTCCCCCGTGTCTCCGTGTGTCTCTCATGTTTCTGTGTGTCTCCATGTGTCCCCCATGTCTCCGAGTGTTCGTGTATCCCCCATGTCTCTGTGTGTCTTCCATGTCTCCATGTGTGCCCTGTGTCTCTGTGTGTCCCCCATGTCTCTGTGTGTTCGTGTATCCCCCATGTCTCCATGTGTCTTCCATGTCTCCATGTGTGCCCTGTGTCTCTGTGTGTCCTCCGTGTCTCTGTCTGATCCCCGTGTCTGTCAGCTACACTCAGCAGTTTGGGGTACATTGATGAATGTAAGTACAGGTGCAGTGTTACAGCAGACACCTCAAGGCGCTGGAGTAGTACCTGCAATGCTGCCTGTACAAGATTCTGCAAATCTGCTGGGAAGAAAGACGCACCAATGGCAATGTCCTCGACCAGGCCAACATCCCCAGCATTGCGGCACTGGCCAACCTTAATCAGCTACGATGGACTGGGCACGTCGTCTGCATGACCAAGACGAGACTCCTCAAGCAGGTGCTCTACGTCCAGCTCCGAAACGGCAGGCCAGCCCCAGGTGGACAGAGGAAACGCTTCAGTGTTACTCTCAAGGCTTTACTGGTGAAGTGTGGCATTCCACCCGACACAGAGGAGAGATTATTTAAATAAAATACAATAGAGATCGCAAGTCACTTGATGTATTGCTGCTGCCTCATGTGAGAGCTCTAGTCACCAGAGATAGAGAGCAAACATGTCTGTAGTAAGTGTTTGCAGCTCGAGGAACTTCAAATCTGAATTGAGGAGCTGGAGTCTGAGCTGCATATCGTGAAAGGGAAAGTTACCTGGACATTTTACTCCAGAGGATGGTCATACCCCCCAGACTAGATAATTCAAAATTTGTGTGTGATCAAGGACAGGAGGGTGTGACTGCAGGTGAAGTAGCTATGAGGATCCGGGGGGTTGCAATTGACCATTGAAATGGGGGGAGGAAATAGGAATGTAGTTGTGGTAGGGGGCAGTACAATGAGGGGGATTGGTCCTGTTCTCTGTGAGTGGGAGTCCCGAAGGCTGGGTTCCCTGCCTGTTGCCAGGGGTAAGGCCATGTCCTCAGGGCTAGAGAGGAACTTGGAGAGGGAGGGGAGGGATCCAGTTGTTATTGTCCATGTTGGTGGCAAAGACATTGGGAAGACTACAAAGGAGGTTGGACTGTAAGATTTTGAACAGTTGGAAGCTCATTTAGAAAGCAGACCCACCAAGGTAATAATTCAAAACGTAATTCAAAACAGGATAGTTCATAGGTTCATGTGGCACCACACTGTTCTGTATCTGTAAATTTTTCCTGACTGTCCTATTTTAACACCATCACCTTGACAACTTGTAACGATCTCTCTGCCTTAATTAGTTTGTACAGTTTTGGATTACTTATGATTTTGGTTAGACACTCAGCATGAACTTTTATACCTAGCATGTTATTCCAGTCATTTGATTTGTCTTCAGCACCATCTTATTTTTAATTTTTTGTGATTATCTCTCTGCCTCATTTAATCAGTTTACAGGCCATCCCTTCACTTGTTATTCAGCTGTTGACACTTTACTCACACTATTGGACACTTCTGGTCACCAGCAAGTCTTATAATTCAACAGTCCACTCACACCATTTGTATGATCTTTTGATCTCTCTGCCCTTGATTTCTCTGCCTATAAATTCTATGTCTGTGTGCTTCCCTCTCACTTCACTGAGAAGGGGCTATGTTCCGAAAGCTTGTGATTTCAAATAAACCTATTGGACTATAACCTGGTGTTGTGTAACTTCTCACTAAGTCTGTGTGTGCACTTGTGTCTGTGTGTGCATGTGTGTCTGCATCTCTGTGCGTGCATGTGTGTGTGTTCTATGTTTGTGTGTGCATGCATCTGTGCGTGCGCACATGAATTCTATATGTATTCTGTGCATGTGCATCTGAGTGTTTCTGCATAAGACCATAAGACATAGGAGCAGAAATTAGGCCATTCGGCCCATCGAGTCTGCTCCGCCATTCAATCTTGGCTGATAAGTTCCTCAGCCCCATTCTCCCGCTTTCTTCTTGAGCCCCTTGATAATCAAAAACCTATCTATCTCAGTCCTAAATGTACTCAATGACCTGGCCTCCATAGCCTTCTGTGGCAGGGAATTCCATAGATTCACCACTCTCTGGCTGAAGAAGTTTCTCCTTATCTCCATTCTAAAAGGTCTTCCCTTTACTCTAAGGCTGTGCCCTCGGGACCTAGTATCTCCTACCAATGGAAGCATCTTCCCAACATCCACTCTGTCCAGGCCATTCAGTATTCTGAAAGTTTCAATTAGATCCCCCCTTATCTTTCTAAACTCCAATGAGTATAGTCCCAGAGTCCCCAAATGATCCTCATATGTTAAGCTTTCCATTTCTGGGACCATTCTCGTGAACCTCCTCTGAATCTGCTCCAGGGCCAGTACATCCTTCCTGAGATATGGTGTCCAAAACTGCCCACAATACTCCACATGTGGCCTGACCAGAGCCTTATAAAGCCTCAGTAGTACATCCCTGCTTTTATATTCAAGTCCTCTCAAAATAAATGCCAACATTGCATTTGCCTTCCTGACTACTGACTCAACCTGCAAGTTTACCTTGAGAGAATCCTGGACTAGAACTCCCAAGTCTCTTTGCATTTCAGACTTCTGAATTTTCTCCCCATTTATAAAATAGTCCATGCTTTTATTCTTCTTACCAAAGTGCATGACCTCACACTTTCCCACATTGTACTCCATCTGCCACTTCTTTGCCCACTCTCCTAACCTGTTCAAATCCTTCTGCAGCCTCCCCGCCTCCTCAATACTACCTGTCCCACCACCTATCTTTGTATCGTCTGCAAACTTAGCCAGAATGCCCTCAGTTACTTCACCTAGATCATTAATGTATAAACTGAAAAGTTATGGTCCCAGCACTGACCCTTGTGGAACATCGCTTATCACCGGCTGCCATCCTGAGAAAGACCCTTTTATCCCCACTCTCTGCTTTCTGGCAGACAGCCAATCTTCTATCCATGGTAGTACCTTGCCTCTAACACCATGGGGCCTTATCTTACTCAGCAGCCTCCTGTGCGGTACCTTGTCAAAGGCCTTCTGGAAGTCCAGGTAGATAACATCCATTGGCTCTCCTTGGTCTACCCTGCTTGTTCCTTCCTCAAAGAATTCTAGCAGATTTGTCAGGCATGACCGCTCCATGCTGACTTTGCCCTATGTTACTATACACTATATACTATACACTTCCAAATATTCAAAAATTTCATCCTTTACAATGGACTCCAAAATCTTACCTATGACCGAGGTTAGGCTAATCGGCCTGTAATTTTCCTTCTTTTGCCTTACTCCCTTTTTAAACGGGGTGTCACGTTAGCGATTTTCCAGTCCTCTGGGACCCTCCCTGACTCTCGTGATTCCTAAAAGATCACCACTATCTCTTCAGCTATCTCCTTTAGAACTCTGGGGTGTAGTCCATCTGGTCCAGGTGATTTATCCACCTCCAGGCCAAACAGTTTTACTAGCACCTTTTCCTTGGTGATGGCCACCATACTCAGCTCTGGCTCCTGACTCTCTTGAATGTTTGGGATGTTACTCGTGCCTTCCCCGTGAAGACTGACTCGAAGTAATTATTCAGTTCCTCAGCATGTTCTGCCTGCACATGCATATGTGTGTGTGAGCATGTGTGCCTGTTTTCACTGTTTCTCTGTGACAATGCATCTGTGATATGTTTGTGTATATATAGTTTGATCTCGGACTGATTCTTTTATTGTGTTCTTTGCCTGTAGGGTGCTTATGGAAGAACCCCACTGTACAGAGCAGCCTTTGGTGGGCATCTGGCAGCACTTGAAATGCTGTTACAATATGGAGGGGACCCTCGTATCTGCGCCGATGATGGCATCATACCTGAGGAAGTGAGTTACTGAACCAGCCATATCAATACAGTGGCTACAAGAGCAGGTTAGAGGCTAGGGGCTCTGCAGCAGACCTCATTCCATTTTGTCTATCACAAGAGGAGAAGGACATAACAAATAAGAGGAAGAGTAGGACATATTAGACCCTTAGAAGACAAAGGGTGGTAGTGGATGGAAAATATTCAACATGGTGCTCAGTTACGAGTGGTGTACCACAAGGATCTATTCTGGGTCCTCTTTTGTTTGTGATTTTTGTAAGTGATTTGGATGAAGGAGTGGAAGGGTGGATTAGCAAGTTCGTGGACGATACGAAGGTGGGTCAAGTTGTGGACAGTGCGGAGGGCTGTTCTAGGTTACAAAGGGACATTGATAGGATGCAGAGCTGGGCTGAGAAGTGGCAGGTGGAGTTTAACCCTGAAAAGTGTGAGGTGATTCATTTTGGAAGGATAAACTTGAAAGCAGAATACAGGGTTAATGGAAAGATTGTTGGCAGTGTGGAGGAGCAGAGGGATCTTGGGGTTCATGTTCACAGTTTCCTGAAAGCTGCCACCCAGGTGGATAGAGTTGTTAAGAAGGTGTATGGTGTGTTAGCTTTCATTAATAGAGGGATTGAGTTCAAGAGCCGTGAAGTTATGCTCCAGCTATACAAGAGCCTGGTTCGGCCACATTTGGAGTATTGTGTCCAGTTCTGGTCACCTCATTACAGGAAAGATGTGGAAGCGTTGGAAAAGGTGCAGAGGAGATTTACCAGGATGTTGCCTGGAATGGAGGGAAGGTCTTACGAGGAAAGGTTGAGAGAGCTAGGGCTTTTCTCTTTAGAACGACGAAGGATGAGAAGTGACTTGATAGAGGTGTACAAAATGATCAGAAGTATAGATACAGTAGACAGCCAGAGACTTTTTCCTGGGGTGGAAATAGCTTTTACGAGGGGATATAGTTTTAAAGTGAAAGGAGGTAGATATCGGGGAGACGTCAGAGGTAGGTTCTTTATTCAGAGAGTGGTAGGGGCCTGGAATGCATTGCTGGAGAGGGTACTGGAGTCGGCCTCATTAGGGGCATTTAAGCGGCTATTAGATAGGCATATGGATGATAGTATAAGGTAGCAGTGGAGGTTAGATAGACCTTAGGTTTAGGGTAAAAGTTCAGCACAACATCGTGGGCCGAAGGGCCTGTACTGTGCTGTACTGTTCAATGTTCTATAAGTTCTCTCAAACGTGCCCTGCTATTCTATAACATCATGGCTCATCTTTCCCAGGCCTCAATTCCTTTCTCATGCCTCAAGCCTGTTCCTCAGAGCTGTCAACTCCTCAGAATTTCAAAAATCTATCAACCTCCTCTTTAAACACTTTCAGTGATTGAGGCTGCACAACCCCTAAGGTAGAGAATTCCAGAGATTCATTATCCTTCAGGAAAAGAAATTCCTTTACATATAGTTTTAAATGAGTGTCCCTTTATTCTGTAACAATGTCCCTCAGTTTGAGATTCCCCAATTAGTGGAAGCATCTTCTGTACATCTACCCTTTCAAGATGCCTCAGAATCTTGGATGTTTCAGCAAAATTACTCCTCATTCTTCGAACTTTGAATGAATAAAGGCTTAACCTGTTTAGCTGTTCTTTATAAGTCCCAACTCCTTCATCCCAGGAGTTACTCATGAATCTGTGTTGAACTGCCTTGAATGCCAGTATATCTGTTCTTAAATATAGGGACCAAAACTGTACACAGTATCCATATGCAGTTCACCAACATCCTAGACAGTTGTAACAACACCTGCCTATTTTGAAGCTCCAATTCCCTCGCGATAAAGGTCAAAAATTCCATTTGCCTTCTTAATTATGTACTGCACCTTGATGCTAACTTTTTCTGTTTCATGCACAAGGACACCCAGATCTCTCTGTGCTGTACTTTTTGGTGTCTCTCCATTTAAGTAACAGTCTCCTTTTGATTCTTGCTGCATGACTTCACGCTTCCTACGAGAAACTCCATCTGCCAAGTTTTTGCCCACTCACTCAACCTATAGGTATCACCTTGCAGGTTCCTTTTGTCCTCATCACCTGACCTCCTATTTAATTTTGTATCATTAGCAAACCTGGACCCTTTACACTCTGCCACCTTCTCCAGCCATTCATACAGATGGTAAATAATTGAGACCTTAGGACTGATCCTTGTAGCCCTCCACTAATTACGCCTGTCAAACCAGACCCATTAATCTGACTCTTTGCCTTCTGTATATTAACCAATCCATAAAACTATAGAAATGACACAGCACGGAAGGGGCCCATTTGGTCCAACTTGTCCATGGCAGCTCAAAGACACCCAGATGTCCTTTCTAATCCCAACTCCCTGCACACAGCCCATAGCCCTGCAGCTTACAGCATTGAAGGTGCAGATCCAGATACTTTTTAAAAGAGTTTAGGGTCTCTGTCTCCACCACCAACTCAGGCAGTGAATTACAGATACCCTCTGCATAAAAAGGTTTCTCCTCACATTCTCTCTAATCCTTCTGCCACTTCGCCAAATCTATTTTTGAACTCTCTGCTGAGGGAAACAACTTCCCCCTGTCTACACTATCTCTACCCCTGACAATTCTGTACTACTCAATCATATCACCCCTCAGCCAACGAAAACAATCCCAACCTCTCCTCGGAGCTACAGTTCTTCTGTCCTGGCAACATTCTGGTAAATCTTCTCCACACTCTCTCCAGAGCGATAACGTCATTCCTGTAATATGGCGACCAGAGCTGCACACAATACTCTAGTTGTAGCCTCAGCAGTATCTTACACAGTTTCATCATTATATCCCTATTTTTGTATTCTCTACCTCTGCCAATGAAGGAGAGCGTTCCACATGCCTTCTTTCCAACCTTAGTCTACCTGCACTGCTACCCTTTAGGGACATGTGCACTTGTACACACAGATCTCTCACTTCATCTCCCCATCTCAATATATTCCCATTTATCGTGTTTTCCCTTTACTGTATTACCTAACACTTTCTAAATGCATTACTTCACACTTATCAGAGACAAACTCCATCTGCCACTTTCCTGTCCACTCCACCAACCCATCTGTATCAGTTTGGAGCTTACAGCTATCTTCTACACTATCCACTACACGGCCACTTTCTGTATTATCTGCAAATGCCCCAATCGTGCCCCCCACCGCTCCCCCCTTGCATTCAAATCCAAATCGTAAATGTATAAACCAAACAGCGGGGGTCCCAACACCACATTTGTTTTTATTATTCATCCACAGGTGTGGGCATCACTGTCTAGGCCAGCACTTATTGCCCATGCCTAAACACTTCGGACTACAACCTGGTGTCGTGTGACTTTTGACTTAGTATGGAAGGGCAAAATATGTCAGCGCAGGCTCAGAGGGCTGAAAGCCTGTTCCTGTGCTGTATTGTTCTTTGTTCTGTGCAGAGATGTAATGACACCTCTGGAACAGGTAGGAATGCTGATATAGATAGATTCTTGATCAGTCGGGGAATCAAGGGTAATGGGGAAAGGGCAGGAAAGTGGGTGCAAGGAATGTTTGATCAGCCATGATCCTATTGAATGGTGGAGCAGGCTTGAGGGGCTGAATGGCCTACTCATTTCTTTTTATGGCCTTAATGGATTGGATGGCCCAGGAATAAATTTTAAACAGTGCCTTAAAAAAAAAGCAAAGAGTAGAAAAGCTGAAATATATAAAGACGAACTTCAGACCTTTCAGCCAAGGCAGGAGTTGCCATTAATTTGCTTATTTATCTAGCTGCCATTTCAAATGGATCCTGGCATTCAGATTGAGGGTTTACATATAATGAGAAAAGAGTACTCGAAATCACCTGGTTTCAAACTTTGGGACCATAACATTCAAGCAAAATGAATCAGCTAGCATAGTAATGGGTGGCCTTTGCTTTGGTGTGGCTAATATTGGGAGCTGTCCTTGAGCCACAGTTGGGAGCAAGCATGATCCTGCACTTAACCCCATGCTGTGACAGGGCACTGATTACTTGGCAGTGCTGTTCAAATTCCCCAGTATTCCCCATTAGTAACGTCTGATAAAGTGAGTATCTCTTTAGACAGATTGGCATTGACATGATGGAGAGATCCTGTTTCACGTTTCACAATTGTCTTGTCACTTGTGTTTCTGGGCAGATCGCATCTACAGATGCTGTCATAAAGATCCTTCATGAGTGGGACATCAATACAACTGTGGCTCTTGTGGAGAAGATGGCATCAGAGAGGCAGCGAATATCAGCAGCTGAGAAGAAACTCAAACTGGAAGAAACAAACAGGTCCAGAATGGAAGAAAACAGAAATTGCTAAAGAAACTCAGCAGTACCGGCAGTACTTCATTAGAAGCGACCATTCATTAGAAGCACTCTGCTTTCTCTCTGCAGCAACTTCTGTTTTAGTTTCAGATTTCCAACATCCACAGTTCCTTGTTTTGTTTTAGGTCAGGAGTGAGTTAGCTGCTGGCACAAAGATGGGCAGTGGGACGTCAGACATATGGTGGAAAACTGCTCCCTCCAGTGGTGTAGCTGGTGCATATATCGTTCAAAGCAGTTTTCGGAGATCGTTGCTGCGTACAAACTGACTGTACAAAGGGAATGTACCAGCAAGGGGATCCCTCATCTTACTGAGGAACGGTCACCGGGCCCGAAATGTTAACCCTGATTTTCTCTGCACAGATGATGCCAGCCCTGCTGAGCTTTTCCAAAAACTTCTGTTTTTGTCCCTCATCTTACTGGTCTGAAATAAGACAGGGGAATGTTCTGCAAGGGTTTGAACTCCTAATCAGTGTCTGAGATTTTGATTGTGCAAAATTTTCTATTGTGTATATTTGTGTTTACTAGCCTGTGTGTAAAAAAGGGGAAAAGTTTACTATAGTCTTACCAGACCAGGGCTGTTCTCTCAATGGAGAAAGACACACAGTTGGTGGTGGCTTAACCTGAGGGTCAGCACACGACAGGCAAGGGGACAGGGAGAGTCCTTCATGGTAAACTCAGCTGGTGTAGGAATTAAGCCTACACTGTTTGTATCTTTCTATATTGCAACCCTGTCTTTTCATCCAAGTGAGCTAACTGGCCCACCACCTAAGCATGTACATGTATGTGCATATCTATGAGTATGTTTCAGTGTGTGTGTTTGTTTGTGCATGTGTATATGTGTGCCTGCATGTGTCTATGTGCGTGTATGTGTGTGCGTATGTGTGTGTGCGTGTGTGTGTGTGCACATGTATGTGTCTGTGTGCATAAGTGTGTGTGTGTATATGTGCGTGTGTGCGTGAGTGTGTATGTGTGTGGCTCTGAGCCAGTTTATACGTATGTGTTGCTGTAATTAAGGATGCACATATGAATGAGCTTTGCTGCTGAGGCTGAATTAGGGAGCTGGACGAGTTTGGGAAGGTGCTAATGCTGTGGATGGCTGAGCACACTGGTAGGTTTGACCACCCAGTTGAATGCTGAGAAATGTAAAGGAGATCCTCAACATGAAATCATTGGCAATGGATCCAAACTGGGTGAGCTGGTTACACAGTGCTAATCTCACTGGGCTAGTAATCAAGGACCCCAGGCTAATGTTCAGGGGATGTGGGTTCAAATCCCACCACGGCAGATGGTGAAATTTGAATTTTAAGAAAATCTAGCCCAATGGCAACTGGGGAACTAGAATCCAGGAGAAAGGGCGTTAAGTTGAAAATTGGAGGGTTTGGTTGAAGTATCTGTATGAATATGAAGTACTGGGGAAAACTGATCTAATTTTTCTTTTCTCCAGGATTCAGAATCAGGTTTCAGAAATCACAAAGGAACTGGCCCAATACCAACATGAGGTAACTGTCCCAGTGTGAGTCTGGTGAAACCAAGTGTTCCTTAGCATCTCTGTGGAAAATGATGGCCAGCTCGGGATCACTCATTTGGAGAGGGTCGTTTGACCAATGGCACCTTCCTGTTATGACCTGCCCACTTAAATTATTACTTTGTGTGTCTCAGATTCCCAGCCTGGCCTCTCTATTCGCTTACTCTCTCATCTGATTAGGTTCTTCCATTTTCCCCAGGGTTTGCATCCTGATAATATTTCACTGGTCTTCCTTTGTTTTATTTTATCATTCCTATAAACAAACCAATGCAGGTCCCGTTTCTGGGGCATATTTTATACAACATCAGAGGAATTGTTTGAGAAATGAAAACCAGTGCCAATCCATTTTGTTTTCTGCCATCCCAGGAAGGAGACAATGATCATGGAACTCGTGATCAATCAGCAATCAATCTCCGTCATTTGATAGAAAAAAGACCCGGGCGTGGTGGGCTTCATTTTAATTCCCACTAATGGACTGCAGGACCACCACCTTCTCAAGTGCATCCAAGAAGTGTTTTTTTTTAAATTGGACCAGTAGCATTTTGTGGTTCATGCACAAGGACTCCCAAATTCCTCCGTGCTCTAACTTTGTGCAGTCTTCCTCCATTTCAATAATATTCAGTTCCTCTATTCTTCCTATCTTCCTTCAAAGGGGGAGGTGATGGCCTGGTGGAACATTCCTTGTTCCAGTCCTATTCTGGTTCCCATGCACAACTCTTTCTCCTATATATTGATGATATCATTGGTGCTGCTTCCCTTTCTCTTTCCCTTTCCCTTTCTCAAGGTTCATTGATTTCATTTCTAATTTCCACCTCGCCCTGACTTTCACCTGGTCTAGCTCTGACTCCTCCCTTCCCTTCCTCAACATCTCTGTTCCATTTCTGGGGACAGACTGGCCACAAACATCCACTATAAACCCACCCACTATAAACCGCAGCTACCTGGATAAACATCCTCGTGCCCTGCTTCCTATAAAGACTCCATCCCATTCCCTCAGTTCCTCCATCTCCATCGCATATGTTCAAATGTGTCTATCTTCGACAAGGGAGTCTCCGAAATGTCCACCTTCTTCCTCAACCAAGGATTCCCCAGCACAGTTGTCGACAGGGCCCTCAACCAGGTCCAACCCATCTCCTGCACTTCAACTCTCACCCCATCTCTTCCTTCCTGCAACATACCTTCCAGGTGAAAAAGCACTTTACCTGCACTTCCCAGAATGTAGTCTACTGCATTTGCTGCTCACAATGTGGTCTCCTCTACATTGGGGAAACTAAGCGTAGACTGGGTGACCGCTACGTTCTGCTCACAAAACAGACCCTGAGCTACCTGTTGCCTGCCACTTTAACGCACCACCCTGTTCCCTGGCCAACATCTCTGTCTCAGGCCTGCTGCAGTGTTCCAGCGAAGCCCAACGTAAGCTGGAAGAACAACACCTCATTTTCTGCTTGGGGACCCTGCAGCCCTCTGGACTCAATATTGAGTTCGAGACAACAAGATGCAGAGCTGGATGAACACAGCAGGCTAAGCAGCATCATAGGAGCAGAAAGGCTGACGTTTCTGATGAACGGTCTAGGCCTGAAATGAAAGCCAATGAAAGACCTTCTGAGCTTTTCCAGCATCTTCTGTTTTTGTGAGTACAAAATAGAGGGTCTCTCTGCAGATGTGGCCAGAATCTGCTGAGTATTCCCAGTGGTTTCTGTTCTTATTTCAGATTACCAGTAGGCATGATATTCTGTTTGCAATTAGCAAAACGGGAATGTTTAAACAGTCAGGTAGTGAGGTATGATAATTATGCCAGGTTACACAGCACCAAGAAGTGTTGATATCCAATATATCTACTGTTGTTTGGTAGGGCTGCATACTCCAGATGGTTTAACCTCTGTTTCTTCACTAAGTGAACCATGATATTTCCAATGGAGTTATTGACATATTGATAGAAAGACAGCATAGCCACGGTAGATAGAGCACAATGCATTATTTTATATGCTGTTTCATGAGTAAACACAACTGCTATGAGGTTGTATAGAATGTTGGTGAGGCTTCTTCTGGAGTACTGTGTGCATACCATGTTTAGATGGAGCAGATTTTGTCAGGTGTGTCCAGAAAGGATTTCTGACTCAATATGTAGATAGGCCGACCAGAGGGGAGGCCATATTGGATTTGGTGCTTGGCAACGAACCAGGCCAGGTGTCGGATCTCTTGGTGAGAGAGCATTTCGGTGATAGTGATCACAACTCCCTCACCTTTACTATAGTCATGGAGAGGGATAGGAGCAGACAGTATGGGAAAGTATTTAATTGGGGAAAGGGGAATTACAATGCTATCAGGCAGGAATTGCGGAGCATAAAGTGGGAACAGATGTTCTCAGGGAAATGCACGACAGAAATGTTGAGATTGTTTAGGGAGCAGTTGCTACGAGTATTGGATAGGGTTGTCCCACTGAGGCAAGGAAAGGATGGTAAGGTGAAGGAACCTTGGATAACAAGACATATGGAACATCGAGCACCATCTGTGAAAGAAAAAACAGAGTTCTGAGGAAGAGTCACCGGACCCGAAACATTCACTCTGTTTTTTTCCTTCACAGATGCTGCCAGACCTGCTGAGCTTCTCCAGCAACTTTGTTTTTGTCCCTGATTTACAGTTTCCTCAGTTCTTTCGGTTTTTATATGGAACATCAAGTCAAGAGAAAGAAGGAAGCTTATTTAAGGTTGAGGATGCAAGGATCGGACGGGGCTCTAGAAGGTTACAAGGTAGCCAGGAAGGAACTGAAGAATGGACTTAGTAGAGCTAGAAGGGGATATGAAAAAGCCTTGGTGGGTAGGATTAAGGAAAACCCCAAGGCGTTCTATGCTTATGGGAGGAACAAGAGGATGGCCAGAGTGTGGGTAGGGCCAATCAGGGACAGTGGAGGGACCTTGTGTGTGGAGTTGGAGGAGGTAGGGGAGGTCCTTAATGAATACTTTGCTTTAGTATTCACCAGTGAGAGGGACCTTGACGTTTGTGAAGACAGTGTGAAACAGACTGATATGATCGAACAGGTTGATGTTAGGAAGGAGGATGTGCTAGAAATTTTGAAAAACATGAGGATAGATACGCCCCCTGGGTCAGACGGGATATACACAAGGTTTCTATGGGAAACGAGGGAAAAGATTGCTGCCCCTTTGGCAATGATCTTTGCGTCCTCACTGTCCACTGGAGTAGTGCCAGAAGACTGGAGGGTGGCAAATGTTATTCACTTGTTCAAGAAAGGGAATAGGGATAAACCTGGGAATTACAGACCAGTCAGTCTCACTTCTGTGGTGGGCAAATTATTGGAGAGGATTCTGAGAGATAGTATTTATGATTATTTGGAAAAGCACAGTTTGATTAGAGATAGTCAGCATGGCTTTGTGAGGGACAGGTCATGCCTCACAAGCTTTATTGAATTCTTTGAGGATGTGACAAAACACGTTGATGAAGGTAGAGCAGTGGATGTGCTGTATATGGATTTTAGCAAGGCATTTGATAAGGTTCCATATGGTAAGCCTATTCAGAAAGTAAGGAGGCATGGGATTCAGGGAAATTTGGCTTTCTGGATACAGAATTGGCTGTCCAATAGAAGACAGAGGGTGGTGATAGACGGAAAGTATTCAGCCTGGAGCTCGGTGACCAGTGGTGTTCTGCAGGGATCTGTTCTGGGACCTCTGCTCTTTGTGATCTTTATAAATGACTTGGATGAGGAAGTGGAAGGGTGGGTTAATAAGTTTGCCGATGACACGAAGATTGGTGGAGTTGTGTACAGTGCGGAGGGCTGTTGTAGGTTGCAATGGGACATTGATAGGATGCAGAGCTGGGCAAAGAAGTGGCAGATGAATTCAACCCAGAAAAGTGTGAAGTGATTCATTTTGGAAGGTCGAATTTGAATGCAGAATACAGGGATAATGGCAGGTCTCTTGGCAGCATGGAGGAACAAAGGGATCTTGGGGTCCACATCCATAGATCCCTCAAAGTTGTTACCCAATTTGATAGGGTTGTAAAGAAGGCGTATGGTGTGTTGGCTTTCACTGGCAGGGGAATTGAGTTTAAAAGCCACGAGGTTATGTTAGAGTTCTATAAAACCCTGGTTAGACCACACTTGGAATGTTGTGTTCCGTTCTGGTCACCTCATTGTAGGAACGATGTGGAAGCTTAAGAGAGGGTGTAGAGGAGAGAGGATGCTGGCTGGACTGGAGGGCAGGTCTTATGAGGAAAGGTTGAGAAAGCTAGGGCTTTTTTCATTGGAGCGAAGAAGGACTGCTCCAAGGAGCAGGAAAGCCAACTTTTTGGTTTGGAAAAGTCCTGAAGAAGGGTTCCAATCCGAAACACTGACTTACCTGCTCCTCAAACGCTGTCTGACCTGCTGTGCTTTTCCAGCTCCACATTTAAAAACTCGGGTTGGTTTTTTCTTGAGTGGCGGAGACTGAGGGGAGACTTAATAGAAGTCTATAAAATTGAGACATGCATAGACAGGTTTGACGATCAGAATCTTTTTCTCAGAGTTGAAATGTCTGATACTAGTGGGCATGCATTTAAGCTAAGATGGGGAAAGTTCAAAGGAGACCTGAGGAGCAAGTTTTTTTACATAGAGTGGTATGAGTCTGGAATGCACTGCCAGGGACTTTTGGACAAGCAGACGAATATGTAAGAAATGGAGGGATATGGACCAAAGGCAGGCAGAAGGGATTAGCTCAGCGTGAGATCAATCTGGCGGATCATGTTTGGCACAACATTGTGGGCTGAAGGGCCCGTTCTTGTGGTGTACCGGTCAATGTTCTATGTTGTAACTGTTTACAATATGTATTAATGATTTGGAGGAAGGAAGTGTACATATTGGAGCCACAATTGCAGATGACACAAAAATAGGTGGAAAGGCAGGTTCTGAGAGGGAGACAAATAGTTTGCAGAGAGACATTCATAGATTAAGCAAGTGGGAAAAAAGTTGGCAAATGGAGTAAG